AGTATTTTAAGTCTGTAATTTAAAATACAGTGTCACCAGAGGCCACAAGTGATTTCAGGATGTTCTGATTTTACCTTAGCGTTCAATTAGGACCATGTAGTAGAATGATTTTTAGGAAGTTATTTTAAGGTGAATAAATAAATGGAAATTCTCAATTTTAATTTCTAATTTGGTAAATTTCAGTAGATACAACTGCTGTAAACAGAAGCTCTTTGGGATCAAAGTGTAAAGGGGTCTTGACACCAAAACATTTAAAAACCACTTTTTTTGTTTTGTTTTGTTTTGAGATGGGGTCTCACTCTGTCGCCCAGGCTGGAGTGCAGTGGCATGATCTAAGCTCATTGCAGCCTCTGCCTCCTGGGTTCAAGCAGTTCTCCTGCCTCAGCCTTCTGAGTAGCTGGGATTACAAGCGCCTGGCTCCATGCCTGGCTAATTCAAAATATCACTTGTTTAGATTAGTTGTATCATAGAATATTAAAGAAAATCTTGACCTAGGAATGAAAATCAACAGCAGATTTTGTATATTAAGTTACTACTCAGCCATGAAAACGAATGAAGTCATGTATTTGCAGCAACATGTATGGACCTGGAGGTCATTATCTTCAGTGAAATAACTCAGAAAGTCAAATGCTACATGTTCTCTCTTATAAGTGGAGGCTAAATAATAGAGTGTGGGGTAATAGACATTGGAAAAGCAAAAGAGTGGAGGGTGGAATGAGGGTGAAGGATGAGAAATTACTTAATACAATATACATTATTCAGGTGATGATTACACTAAAGGCCTAGACTTCACTACTCAGCAGTATATTCATTTAACAGAATAGCCTTGTACCTCTGAAATTTATACAAATACAAATAAAAGTATTAGAAAATTAAATGAAGCATTTTTATGACTTACCAAATATATATATATTTTTGAATTGTGTAATCAGGAGACTGGAACCTACTGAAAGACCTCTTCAGATCGTTTATGATTACTTATCCAGGCTGGGATTTGATGATCCTGTGCGCCTACAGGAGGAGGCTACAAATCCTGACCTCGGCTGTATGATTCGATTTTATGGGGGTAAGAATTTATCAGTGGCTTTTTATGTTAACTACTTTTAAGTTGATCATTTGTGTCTCTGTCTGCCATCAGCTTTTTCAAAGTATTTTATCAAAAACGAGTTTTAAGCCAATTAACTAATGTAGTTAAAACCAACCAAGCAACAAAAACCAGGAGGTCAGGGATAAGGGAACATTTAAAAATATGAGCCTAAAATATCTTCCCTTTTTATGTTTGCTTTTTGCGCTTGTGTTTTGCTAACCTTACTAGCGTTATTTTATACCTTTGCCAGAATCTTGACTGGATCAAGCTTTAGTAAATTATTTTTTCAAGCTCCTGGTAAAGTCTGAACTTCTGGATAGCTCAAAAATGTTGAGAGTAAGTAGTCATCATTATATACGACTTGACCTTGATGAATATACCTGTCAAATTTGTATATTGGTGAATTTAGTGGGCTTTAAATCTAGGATTTTTGACTCTTCTGAGAAAAATATTTTAGGATGAATTTGAGGAACACAACCCATCTATCACTATAATACTTAGTTAAAAAAAAACAAAACTTGCCAGGTGCGGTGGCTCAAGCCTGTAATCCCAGCACTTTGGGAGGCCGAGGCGGGTGGATCACGAGGTCGAGAGATCGAGACCATCCTGGTCAACATGGTGAAACCCCGTCTCTACCAAAAATACAAAAAATTAGCTGGGCATGGTGGTGCGTGCCTGTAATCCCAGCTACTCAGGAGGCTGAGGCAGGAGAATTGCCTGACCCCAGGAGGCGGAGGTTGCGGTGAGCCGAGATTGCGCCATTGCACTCCAGCCTGGGTAACAAGGGCGAAACTCCGTCTCAAAAAAACAAAACAAAACAAAACAAAACAAAACTTGAAACAGTAACATGCTTCTAATCTGATTGTGGTTGAACCCTAGTTCTTCCTTATGGTAGTCTCCCCTTACCCACAGGGGTTGTGTTCCAAGATCCCTAGTGGATGCCTAAAACCACAGATAGTACTGAACTCTATATATAATATGTGTTTTCCTGTACACACGTACCTATTGATAAATTAGGCAAAGTAAGAGATTAACAATCATAAGTAAGTAAATGTTCTCTCTCTCAAAATATCTTGTACTGTACTTACCTATTTTCAGACCATAATTGATTGGAGATAACTGAAACCTTGGAAAGCAAGACCACAGATGGCAGGGACAGGGAGGGGCTACTGTGTATATTTTTATTCTAAAATGAAAGTTGAACCATTCTTTTGCATTCACTTATACTGCACAGTGGTTCGCTCTGATACCCCTATTTTCCTACCACCACCTGATAAATTAGAGCATACCCAGCATCTTAATATACTATACCCTTAAGAGGATATTTCTAGTACAGTCTAAAAGAATACCAGTTTGTAGTACTACTTAAATTTTGAGGGATCTTTCCAAGAATTAAGCTCTATTGACACAGAGAAACTGGTATAGTTTGAGTGAGAAAATTAAGTTTGGAATGAAACTTTTAAAGTTAATAATCTTTGAAAATAGGCAATAATGGATCTGGCACCAAAAATAAAAGATAGATAGATAGATGGACAGATAGATAGACAAATGAATTAGTTATCTGTTGGCCCTGTAACAAATTGCCTCAAAACTTAGGACTTAAAATGGTAATAAATAATTTTAATATAGTTTTTATGGGCCAGAAGTCTAGGAGCAGTTTAGCTGAATGGATGGTTCTGGCTTGGGTTTCATGAAATTGTACTCATCTTAAGGCTTGAGTGGAGCTGCAAGATTCACTTTCAACACAGTTCACTCACATGGCCTCACTTCCTCACCCCTGCTGGTGGGAGGCTTCAGTTCCCTCTTCTATGGATCTTTCCTTAGGGCTTCCTAAGTGTCTTTACAACATAGTGGCTAGTTTCCCCAGTGAAGAAAGGCACACACAACATAGTGGCTAGTTTCCCCAGTGATGAGACACTTCACAGCATAATGGCTAGTTTCCCCAATGATGAGACACTTCACAGCATAGTGGCTAGTTTCTCCAGTGATGAGACACCTCACAACATAGTGGCTAGTTTCCCCAGTGATGCACGCACATGCACAGAGGCCTCAGTGTCTTTTATGACCAAGCTTCATAAGTCACCTTTACTTTTACCACTTTTTATTTATTAAGAAATGAGTCACTAAACATAACTTCTACTACAGAGGGAAGAATTAGCTCCAGTTTTTGAAAGGAGGAGTGTCAAATAATTTGTGGATCTATTTTTTCTTTAATTTTTAAATTTTCTTTGAGACAGGGCCTCACTCAATTGCCCAGGCTGTAGTGCAGTGGCACCATCATGGCTCACTGCAGCCTAAACGTCCCAGGCTCAAATGATTCTCCCCTCTCAGCCTCCCAAGTAGCTGGGACTACATGTGCACACCACTGCACCTGGCTAATTTTTATAGAGCTGAGGTCTCGCCATGTTGCCCAGGCTGCCCACAAACTCCGGGGCTCAAGTGATTCCTACTTTGGCCTCCTAAAGTGCTGGAATTATAGACGTGAGCCACGATGAGCAACTGGATCTGTATTAAAACTGATGCAGGATATTTTCTTGACCCCTTTATGACACTTGTGACAGGGGTGCCCTATTTACTCAGCCTGCCCTGCTCAACCCCTTGTGGGAGGGAATGCATGGGCAAATGAATGTGGGAACTGGCTGGCTGCTTTTGCGCTGGTGGGAACAAACCATGTTCACTGGGGTCTGTCATGCTCCATCCTTTGTGGGCCATAGTGCATAGGAGAGTGAGTGCAGGAACTGGCTGCCTGCTTTAGCACCAGCAGGAATAAACTCCATTCAGGCCTGTGGCAGCATCCAAGTGGGACTATTGGTGATCCCAAGACCCCAGAGGATGTGTTATAATGCTTTCTTAGCTCTGTCATCTGCAGACAGCAGTGTGTTACCAGCTTGGTGGGCCCTTTGCCTTGTTGTGTAGGACAGCTCCGTCCACCAATGAGGGCAAAAGGCCAATGTGGCAGCCTTTTGAATACTGGCACTTGGTGCATCCTGAATTCTTGTCTGGTGCCCAAGAGGAATGAGGTCATGTGGACAAATTGAAGGATGGTGAATGTGGGGAATTTTATTGAGTGATGAAAGCAGCTCTTAGTGAAGAGGGGAGCTGGAAAAGGGATGGGAAGGGCAGGTCACTTTCCCTTGAAGTCAAGTCTCTTCTCTGCCTCCGTCGTCTGAAGTCTGGTCACCTCTGCCTAATGTCCAGCTGCTTCTCTTCTCTACTGGCTGAGTCTGGGGTCTTTATTGGCACAGGATGGGAGGCAGGGTGTGCCATAGGTAGTTTTTGAAAAGATAATAACTCAATTGGTGAAAAGATATTACTCAGAAAGAACCATTCAGTGGAGAGCAGACACACAGGGATGGAAATTCTCACTTTGGGTCACAGGTTTCAGTCTTTTCGGCTTGAAGGTGGGGTTTTGCTGGGGACCAGCCCCTGTCTGCCTAGAATTTCTCTGCCTCCTGCCTCTATCAAAACTATCTTAGAAAATATGCTTCCCTCTCACCTTTTTCCACCAACTACCCAGTTTCTGAAACCAGACACAACTACTTTTAACTGAAGGAAAGACTTGAATTCTCTTTGAAGTAAATAGCTTAGTAATTATCTTTAAATCTTTTATGTGTAGAATTTTTGTTGAGTCAACTTAGTTGGAATATAGTGTTAATACGGTCAGGTCATAAGGTCCTAAGTGCAAACCAGTTAATGTTGTGTTCCCTGGTTATCAAAGGATGCTAGATAGTGTCCCAGTCAACCATTACGCAAATGCCAGTTATCAGTCTTGCTATAGAGGGAGTGGGGAGTGGGAAGTGAGTGGAATGACTCTCTGAGTTCAAATTCATAAGCTGTGGAAAGAACATTTCACTAAAGTCAAGTTGAGTAGGTAGCATGAGCAATCGTGGAATTAAGAGAGCATATAAATCCTCTGCAGCCAGTTGAGCTGACTGAGTTCCTTTCCTCATGGGGGCCCAGTGTGCAGTGGCTACAAACAGCAGCTTCTTTGGTAGTATACTCAGCCTGTTTCTTTTTTTTTTTTGAGGCGGAGTTTCACTCTTGTTACCCAGGCTGGAGTGCAATGGCGCAATCTCGGCTCACCGCAACCTCTGCCTCCTGGGTTCAGGCAATTCTCCTGCCTCAGCCTCCTGAGTAGCTGGGATTACAGGCACACGCCACCATGCCCAGCTAATTTTTTGTATTTTTAGTAGAGACAGGGTTTCACCATGTTGACCAGGATGGTCTCGATCTCTTGACCTCGTGATCCACCCGCCTCGGCCTCCCAAAGTGCTGGGATTACAGGCTTGAGCCACCGCGCCCGGCCCAGCCTGTTTATTTTATGGATTGCTCTAAGGGACCTTGGAGACAGGCCTTTCAGATGTATGTTCATGTCCTGACTTTGCACTATTCTTAATCTGGGCTCCAAACAGGTGTGCAAGGTGCCTTTGGAAAGCCCTAGGACAGTGTGGCCGGAGTTCACATTGGGCAAGTTATGTTTATCCCCACCAAGCTGCAGAGCAAGGAACATGTGATTGATGCCCTATGCAGGGCCAAGTTGAAGTTCCCTGGCTGCCAGAAGATCCACATCTCTAAGAAGTGGGGCTTTAACAAGTTCAATGCAGATGAATTTGAAGACATGGTGGCTGAGAAGCAGCTCATCCCAGATGGCTGTGGGGTCAATTGCATCCCTAGTCGTGGCCCTGGGAGGGCTTCCACTGTGCTGCCCCCTCTTAATGCTCACCAATGCCCCCTCTTAATGCTCCTACTTCCTGTCCACCTAAAAAAAAAAGAGAGAGAGAGAAAGAACAAACCCCTTACTTGCATCGGAGTAAGTGTCATTTAGAGGGTGTGATTTGTGAGGGAAGTTGTAGCTCTGGGACTGTATAGCTCAGGTAGCACACAACTCCCTGCCTGAACATTTCTCTGTGTACTGCATTCTCTGGACACATTGATAAAACAGTTTTGTCAAAAGAACATAAATATAAACATCAGAAACGAGACAAAGAATTAACATCGTATGTTTCCATTCATTTAAAGTTCAAAAAACAGGTTAAACACAGCCATATTATTAGGAAATGTATGGCAATACTATTGTTAATCAAAATCTGTTCTTTCATAATAACCAAATTGTAGTGGGGCATATAACTGCCCAGCTATAGCCCATTTCCCAGCCTCTCTTGCAGTTAGGTGTGTCCATGTGACAAAATTTTCTTCCATGGTATGGAGTAGACTTGATGTGTGCTACTTCTGCCTGGTTCCTAAAACCCCTGGTGTGTGCTTCTCAGTGCTTTTATGCTCTTTTCCTCTATGGTGGGCTAGGATGGCAATAATCAGAGCAATATTAGAAGTCAAGTGTGGAAGATGGCAGAACGTGAGTTTCTTTTTCTTTTTAATTAATTAAATTAATTAATTAATATATTTTTGAGACAAAGTCTTGCTCTCTCACCCAGGGTGGAGTGCAGTGGTGCCATCTGGCTCACTGCAACCTCCACCTCTCAGACTCAAGTAGTTCTCCTGACTCAGCCTCCCAAGTGATTGGGGTCACAGGTACCTGCCACCACACCCAGCTAATTTTTGTATTTTTAGTAGAGACTGGTTTCACATGTTAGCCAGGCTGGTCTCGAATTCCTGACCTCAAGTGATCTGCCTGCCTTGGCTTCCCAAAGTGCTGGGATTACAGGTGTGAGCCACCACTCCCTGCCAGGCTTTAAAATTTTTACTAATCTGATGGATAAAATGATGGTCTCTTTGTTTAAATTTTTTTTTTCCAAATCACACTGCCGTGTGTGTACCTATGCAACAGTCTTGCATGTTCTTCACATGTACCCCAAAACCTAAAATGCAATAAAAAAAAAATTTTTTTCCCCTTACTACTAAGGTGGTTGAGAATTATTTCATATTGTTATTGGATCTTTTTATTTCTTCTTTGAGTTACTGATATTTTTGTACATCTTTCTGTTCCTCATTTTTCATATTGATTTCAAGGACTTCTACATATATTCAGAACATATATCCTTTGGGTACTATATTTGTGACTCAATTTTTTTCCAGCCTGTAACTTTTAATTTTATTTATTACTTTTTTTTTTTTTTTTTTGAGACGGAGTTTCGCTCTTGTTACCCAGGCTGGAGTGCAATGGCGCGATCTCGGCTCACCGCAACCTCCGCCTCCTGGGTTCAGGCAATTCTCCTGCCTCAGCCTCCTGAGTAGCTGGAATTACAGGCACGTGCCACCATGCCCAGCTAATTTTTTGTATTTTTATTTTCTTTTTTTTGAGACGGAGTTTCGCTCTTGTTACCCAGGCTGGAGTGCAATGGCGCGATCTCGGCTCACTGCAACCTCCGCCTCCTGGGTTCAGGCAATTCTCCTGCCTCAGCTTCCTGAGTAGCTGGAATTACAGGCATGTGCCACCATGCCCAGCTAATTTTTTGTATTTTTAGTAGAGACGGGGTTTCACCATGTTGACCAGGATGGTCTCGATCTGTTGACCTTGTGATCCACCCGCCTCGGCCTCCCAAAGTGCTGGGATTACAGGCTTGAGCCACCGCGCCCAGCAATTTTTTGTATTTTTAGTAGAGACAGGGTTTCACCATGTTGACCAGGATGGTCTCGATCTCTCGACCTCGTGATCCACCCGCCTCGGCCTCCCAAAGTGCTGGGATTACAGGCTTGAGCCACCGCGCCCGGCCCTATTTATTACTTTTTATTGTGCATACGTTTTAAAGTTGTATTTAGTCACTACTTTTTTATTTTTGAGACAGCATCTCACTCTGTCTCCAGGCTGGAGTATAGTGGCATGATTCAGCCCACTGCAACCTCTGACTCCTGGGTTCAAGCGACTCTCCTGTCTCAGCCTCCCAAGTAGCTGGGACTACAGGTGCATGCCACCACGCCCAGCTAATTTTTGTATTTTTAGTAGAGACAGGGTTTCACTATGTTGGCCAGGATGGTCTCAATCTCTTGACTTTGTGATCTGCCAGCCTCAGCCTCCCAAAGTACTGGGATTACAGGCTTGAATCACTGTGCCTGGCCTTTAGTCACTGTTTAGTCAATATTTATATATATATATATATATATATATATATGTATTTTTTTTTTTTTTTTTGAGATAGAGTCTTGCTGTGTCACCCAGGCTGGAGTGCAATGGCATGATCTTGGCTCACTGCGATCTCCGCCTCCTGGGTTCAAGAGATTCTCCTGCCTCAGCCTCCCAAGTAGCTGGGATTACAGTCGTCTCCCATAGTGCCCAGCTAATTTTTCTATTTTTAGTAGAAATGGGGTTTCATCATGTTGGTTAGGCTGGTCTCGAACTCTTGACCTCAGGTGATCCACCTGCCTCAACCTCCCAAAGTGCTGGGATTATAGGCGTGAGCTACCACACCCAGCCAGTCAATTTTAAAAATTATTTTATTATTTTTGAGACAGAATCTTGCTCTTTCACCCAGGCTGAGTGCAGTGGGTGATCTTGGCTCACTGCAACTTCTGCCTCCTGACTTGAAGAGATTCTCCTGCCTCAGCTTCCCAAGTAGCTAGGATTACAGGTGCCCACGCCAGGCTAATTTTTGTTTTTAGTAGAGATGAGGTTTTGCTGTGTGGGCTAGACTGGTCTCAAACTCCTTGCCTCAAGTAATCCAACCACCTGGGCCTCTCAAAGTGCTGGGATTACAGGTGTGAGCCACTGCACCTGGCCAGATTTTTTTTGTTGTTGTTTTTTTGTTTTAGTTTTTTTTTTTTTTTTGAGACGGAGTTTCGCTCTTGTTACCCAGGCTGGAGTGCAATGGCACAATCTCGGCTCACCACAACCTCCGCCTCCTGGGTTCAGGCAATTCTCCTGCCTCAGCCTCCTGAGTAGCTGGGATTACAGGCACGTGCCACCATGCCCAGCTAATATTTTGTATTTTTAGTAGAGACGGGGTTTCACCATGTTGACCAGGATGGTCTCGATTTCTTGACCTCGTGATCCACCCGCCTCGGCCTCCCAAAGTGCTGGGATTACAGGCTTGAGCCACCGCGCCCGGCCTCAGATTTTTATTAATATACATATGTGATGTATTTTGCTAGCTGATAGTGAAGTTTTCTGTCACTGTTCTTCTCTGGAAAATCAGAGATGTCTAGAAATTGGAGAAGTCTTTGTGAAAAAGCTGTGTTTGAGTTGGTTCTTTAAAAACTGAGTGTTTCCACAAGCAGGAATGAAAAAGAAGGCAATGGTGGGAGATTAGAAATTACATTGCATGTTTGTGAATCACAGTTAGTTTGAGTCCAGATTGTTTTGGGCCATGGGTGCTCCATCAGGAGTTTAGCCATCATTTGGCAGATGATAGCAGAAAGTGATGGGATACAAGTGAGCCCAAGGAAGACAAATCTGTTGCCAGTGTGGATAGTGATTTAGATGTGAATTAGTAAGGATCTGATCTAGGGATTAGAAAGGAATTGTTCATATGAGAGACTTTTTTGAAAGAGTAATCACTAAGACTTGATGGCTGATTGAAAAGGGAAGTTGAGAAAGGGAACCCAAGAGTTGAAGCTGCTTCTGAGGTTTTAAGCGTGGGTGACTTCAGGAGATGAGCTTGGATTGTGAGAAGGAGCTGCTGTTGTGCAGGGATGGGAGATGGAGGCTAGCTCTGTCTCCTAGGCTGTAGTGCAGTGGTGCTATCTTGGCTCACTGCAACCTCTACCTCCCAGGTTCAAGCTGTTCTCATGTCTCAAGCCTTCTGAGTAATTGGGATTATAGGCGTGTGCCACCCACTATGCCCAACTAATTTTTGTTTTTTGTTTTTTGTTTTTGAGATGGAGTCTCACTCTGTTGCCCAGGCTGGAGTGCAGTGGCATGATCTCGGCTCACTGCAACCTCCTCCCGGGTTCAGGCAAGTCACCTGCTTCAGCCTCCTGAGTAGCTGGGACTACAGGTGCCCGCCACCACGCCTGCCTAAATTTTGTGTTTTTAGTAGAGATGGGGTTTTACCATGTTGGCCAGGCTGGTCTCAAACTCTGGACCTCAGCTGCTCTGCCCACCTCGGCCTCCCAAAGTGCTGGGATTACAGGCATGAGCCACCACACCCAGCCTAATTTT